GTGTGTGTGTGTGTGTCCAGCTCAGCCCACCAGGGGGCGGGGCGGGCTGGCATGTGGTGCTGGGGGATTGAACCTCGGTCCCTGTGCTTTGCTAAGCTTGTTCTAAGTAGGTGCTTTAGACCACTGAGCCATCTCACCAGCTCCAACAGTGAGTTTCTGAGGACAATTTCCATCCCGGCCATGAGACCCTCCAGACTTCCTTCTTCTAGGTCAGCAGGGAAAATATACCCCAGTGCACACGGCTGGGAAAGTAGTGGGAATCCACACATGCAGGGCCTAACATAAGCCCCGGGACACTAAACAATGAGAGCTGCTGTAATAACATAAAGTGTCATGTGAGTGCAGGGGACAGGCAGGGGGACAGCAGGAATAGAAGGGGATGGGGTGAGAGACCCTGCTAGAGGGCAGAACGGGGCAGGCTCTGTCCTGGAAGGTCCGTTATGCTCCCTGAGTGTTGGTCTCCTCATCTGTAAGACGCCACAACAAAAGTGCCCTCCTCAAAGGCTCCTGTGAGAACAGAGGGCGGCTAAGGAAGCACTTACAGTGTCCCCACACGAACTGTGATTGTCGTGTACGGCTCACAGCAAGTTCTTTAGTGCTGAGCCCTGCGGCTGCATCACTCTGTTGGGCCACCGTGCACCTTGTGGGGTGTCTGTCCACAGCCCTGCACTCCACCCACTAGGTGACAATAGCATCTGCCTCTCGCAGCTGTGACAACCAGAATGTCTTCATGCAACCGAAAGTCCCCTGGACTTGGAGATGGGCAGATGCTATGCTACAAAATTGTGTGTCAAGCTGAATATGGGATGCAAACCTGCAATCTCAGTACTCAGGAGGCTGAGGCAGGAGGATCAGGAGTTCACTACATAGTGATACCCTGTCTCAAAAACAAAAAACAAACAAACAAAACCAATACGGAAGAGAGCTCAGTTGCAGGATTCATCTGGCTTCAGGCTTTTTCTCATTTATTTTTAGTGTAATTTTTTTTCCTTTTTAAATCTTTTATTTTTGTTTATTTGGCACAGGGTCTTGCACTATGCAGCTCAGACTCATAGTGATCCTCCTGTCTCAACCTCCCCAGTGCTGGGATTACAGGTGTGGGCTACCACGCCCAGTTTGGGTGGCTCACATTGTGTGCACTGGGTTCTGGGGCCAGCATGGTATGTGGTACTGGGGATCAAACCCAGGCCCTTGCGCTTGCCAGGCAGGCACTTAGACTGCCAAGCTATCTCCCAGCTCTGTTTTTTGGGGGTTTTTTTATATATATTTTGGCGGAACTGGGGATTGAACTCAGGCCCTTGCACTTGCCAGGCAAACACTTATTCTACTAAGCCATTTCCCCAGTCCCCTGTTGTTTTGTTTCTTGAGACAAGGTCTCATTGTATAGTTTGGGCTGGACTCGAATTCATGGTAATCCTCCTGACTCAGCCTCCTAAGTGCTGGGATTACAGGTATGCGCCACCATGCATAGCCTGGCCTTAGTGTTGGCTGAGGAAAGGACACAGTGCTCTTTCTTTCCTTGTGGGGCCATGGGGAGGAGACCCTAGGCAGAGCAGGTATGTTCGAGGGATGAATACAGCCATGCCGGAATCCTAATGCAGCCCTCATCAGCACCCTTAGGTGTGAGGACGAGGCAGGAGGGCAGGGTCAGTGCTACCCGCAGGGAACCGCAGTGGGTGCTCTGGAAGAGGTGGGTGCTGCGTGAGCAGCCACAGCAGGGATGCCCGAAGCAGGCGCCGCACTCCTGAGGCTGCGCTCCTGACCACATCTGGCTGCCAAAGGGAATGTGTCCTTTGAAATCCATTTCCTGAGCCCTCTCCCCACTCCAGGGTCTGGGGAGGGAGGGCGCCCTCACTCTCAGCAGATACTCAAGGTCCTGAAGGGTGGGAGCACTACGGAGCCCAGCCACCTGCGCAGGGCCTGCGGAAAGGCCCGCAGTCACGCTCGGCCTGCAGCCCTTGCACTCCTAGGAATGCATCATGGTGCCCCACCATCCTGAGGAAGGAGGAGAGCGCTGTGAGTCGAGCCAAGGTACCTGGCAACCTGGGTGGAGCACAGCCCTGGGGGAGCTTGCTGCTCCGTACAACCCTTGGCCCTTAATCACCAGCTTCTCCAATCAGACAATCAGACCCCCAGGCTCCCTCTGGGGACTCCCAGGACCTGCCTGCTGGAGGGGCCCCTCCAGAAACCCTGAAGGAAACAATGCCAGTTCTCACCTCCCATTGTGACCCTGCTCTTAGCCCCCATTTGCGGAGGACAGCTGAGGCTCAGAGAGGTTGGGTCACCTCCGCATTGTCACACAGCCAGGACGAGAGATCTGAGGCACACCTGTCAGATTGCAAAGTCCCTTTTTATTGAAAATGTTTTTTTTTTCTTTTTCCTAGAAATTGCCTAAAAGCTCACTTTAATAACTGACACACATTAGAACTCAGCTTTCATGAGCCAGGCAGGAAGCACACACACGCAGAGGGCTGTGTGGGGAGCCGGAGTGCCCGGGCCACGCCACAGCAGCCACTGAGAAGAGCTTTCAACCTAAGGTAAAAGCCACTCGGAGTACAGACTCGGGAGTAGAATCCAGCTTCTGCCTGCCGCTCCCTACTCGCGTGCCTCCCGGGGAGTCCCCTGATCTCTAGTATTCTGTTTTCTCATCTATGAAATGCAAACAGTGATGCCAATCTTGTTAAATAAGCGAAGTGCTTAGTACGTACTGAAGAGCCCATTAAATGTCAGCCTCCATCATTTTAAAAAGGACAATTGAATTTTATGAAAAGTCTCTCATTTTCATCAATGCTAACAATCCATACTTTAAAGAGTACTGTGAAAGCCAGGCATAGCGGCCCACGCCTGTCATCCCAGCACTTGGGAGGCTGAAGGGGGGGCACTGTGAGTTCAAGGCCAGCCTGGGCCATGTGGCGAGACTCTGTCCCAACAAAAGTATACTGTGCAAACCCAGGAAAAGAAAAAACCTCCAAAGGGCCGGCCAAATAGCTCAGCAGATTGAAGCACCTGCAAGCAGGGGCTGGGGGTTCCGTCCCCAGGCCTGCTGTGCCACTGCCCCCCACCCTCTGCGTGCTGAGATGGTAATTGAGACTGGGCGTGGTGGCACATGCCTGTAATCTCAGCTCTTGGGAGGCTGTAAATGGGTAGATCACTATGAGTTCGATCGAGTAGTGACACCCTGAACACCCTGTAGCCCCTTCCCTAAAATAAAAAAAATAAAAATAAACCTCCAGCATACCTTTTGACACCTTTCTCTGTGTGCGTGTGCTAATGTGTATGTGGGTGCGTATACATATGCGGCTAAGGCCACCAAATGTGGCGACTACAGAGCTATCTCAGACAAGGCCCCACCCCCGCCCCCTCCTGGTTCCAACGGTGACATGGAAAAGTCTAGAAACAGGCCCAGGACAGCTCAGCACAGGGCACATTCCAGGACACCTCCCTCACAGAAGGAAGCAGGGCTGTCCTCCCACAGCCCCCCATCTGGCTCTCGGGCTCCATCCCACAGCCTTCGCTGGGTTCCAGAAAGTACCTGGTCCCTCCATCCCTCCACAGGGGCCCTGCATGCTCCCCTGCCGGCAGCCTTTTCTCCCCGCTTGCCTTCCTGCCCGTGGGTCTGCTGTGTCCTGCTCGGAGGCCCTACTCCACGTACCTTAAAGCAGCTACCTGGCCAGCCAGGGAGCTGCCTGCAGGCGGTCTCCACTGCCCTTGGTGCTCCCTATCTCCTAGTACACAGGTTCTACAGGGAAGACGCTGGTCAGCCCCGCCCACAGGCTGTCGGAGCCCCGCCCACAAGTGTGCCACGAATGAAGGGGCCACTGACTGACACGGGCTCAGAAGAGACACCAGACAGCCCAAGGTGGCAGCATGTGCGGTGCTCCAGCTGCCCTCAAGTTCTGGTTCTGGTTGCAGCAGAGCTGAAAGGCAGGATCGGCCACAGGGGTGTGTGTGCCCTCGTGTGCATGTGGTAGGTGGGCCGCTGGGCCACAGCTGGGCCACAGCTGGGCCGCTGTACCTGACAGGTCCCTGCCCTGCAGCTGGAGGCCTCACGGGCCTCCCATCTGGCCACAAACAGAGGAAAGCCCACTCCCATCCTATGCTGAAACCAATTCCAATTTTCCACTTGCTGTGCTGAGAGAGGACTATGTATGCCCGTGGCCCACGCTGAGCTGGGTGGCCTGGCCAAACAACCCCAGGGAGGATGAGCCGTGGGCCAGCCACCAGGACTAGCTCACTAGCCACATGGATAGGGGCCACTAATCTCCACCACCTAGTGGGCTGGGTGCCGGGAGCCAGGAGCCTTGTACAGGTTTTTCCCCGCTGGGAAAATGTGCTACCTCGTGGTCAGCGGTGCAGGAAGGACAGGTGGGCAGCCTGTTGTCCAAACTGTATTTGTAAGCACCGAGGGACGTGAACACTTTCGGCAAACGCTCTGCCCAGAGAAGGGCCTGATCCTTGGCACTGTGGGGCAGAGACTGCAGGCTCCGGTCTCCCACTCCCACCACGTGATCTCAGCCAAGCCATGGCTCTTGGCGGCCGCCTCTTCTGGGAAATGTGGACAGTGTCCGGCCCACAGAGGCCCACAGGAAGTGCCAGTCTGTGTTAGGGGGACTGATCAGGGCCATGTGCTAGCAAGGCATCACCCTGGGCTCCAGGGTTGCCCTGGGGAGTCACAAGGACCCGGACGGCAGGGCCCAGGGACAAGCACCACCACAGCCGCCAAAACAGCCACCTGTCTACCTGTCCCAAGGTGAGCCAACCTTACTCACACCACCCTGGGAACTTTGAGAGACAGACGGACATTCCCCGCTGACAGGGAAGGACACTGAGGTGGCGAGTCACCAAGGGCAGACCACCTGGCTATGGTGTTCACCTGTCCTGGAATACCATTAGGTTCTCACTGGGTCCCTGCATTCTACTGCTTTGATGTCACCCACTTAGCTCGGGGGAGAAACAAACCTCCCATTTGCCTTGCAATCTATGACCTCCCTCGATGACTTCAGGTCCCTCCTGCGTTCACTCACTCTGGGAAGTGAACTCGGGGCTTTTGCACTGAGCTATATCCATGGCCCTTTCAAAATTTTCAAAATTTTTGAACTAGGGCTTTGCTGAATCCTCCTGCCTCAGCCTCCCAAGCAGCCAGGACTACAGGCAGGTGCCACTGGCCCCAGCTCCCCCTGCTCTTGATGCCAACCCAAGTAAAGAGACCTCTGTAGAATTTCAGTGGCACCAGGATGTTGAGTTGGAGTGACCACCACTGAGCCTCAATTCAGACAGACTCCAGGGTAGAGCAGGGACCATGGCTTCTGCAGACTCATCCCACGGAAGCTGTTTCCAGAGAGGAACAGGGAGTCTCCAGTGGGGGTTCCGGGCCTCCACCCTCAGCACCCGTCTCCGGCTGGCGTCCCTGTTTGCCAACTTCACCTACCACTGACAGCAATGGTTCCTAGGTGTCTAAAATGCAGGAAACAATTTGGAAGTTCCTAAAAAGTGACCACAGGCCCAGCAATTCCACTAAGTACAGAGCACACACAAATGAAAGTGTGTGTCCCTGAAACTCGGGAACCCCAACGCTCAGAGAAGCATCACTCCTAACAGCCCCAAAGCAGAAGCCAGCCAAATGCAGCAGCCAGAGAGCGGACACACAGGACGCGGCCCATAGCAGCTTTCAGCCTTAGAGGGGCCGGGCGTCCTGCAGGCGCTGTAATGCGCATGCGTCCCGCTGGGTGCGAGGCGCACACCGAAGACCAACCTGGCGCACTTCCGTTAACACGAAGTGTCAGGACGGGCAGAAATCACAGGTCCAGGAAGCAGACGAGGGCCTTTGGGGCCTGGGGAGTGCTAGCAAACATGGGGTCTCTTTGGGGAAGATGACGTGAAATGCAAGTGTGGTGATGGGCCGGGGAGATGGCTCAGTAGAATAAGCACGTGCCTGCCAAGCGCAAGGCCCTGAGTTCAATCCCCAGGTCCCAGTTTCACCAAAAAAAAAAAAAAAAGGACAGATGATATAGCTCCATGTAAAGGCCATGGCTTCAAATCCTAGCATTAAAAAAAAAAAAAAAAAAAAAAGTCCGGTCATGGTCCTAGGACCCTGGAGACACACCCAAGGCCGATCAACGGGACATGGTCTTAGTGACTTCCCTTGTCTCTGGGCCACGAAACCCAACAGCAACCACACAGAGGCGGAGAGGCTCTTTTGGGCTCGTTTTTTTCAGTCCTTGGCCCTCGGGTGCAGGGTGGAGCCGGCACAGCAGAGGGGCGGGGCTCATGTCATGGTGGCCAGGAAACAGAGAAGTCGGGGGTGGGAAGGACACACCCCAGCAGCCCCATTCCACCTACCAGGCCACTGCAACAGCAAGCCAGCTCTATAGTCCCCTCACCCAGTCACCTCCCCAGCCCCCAGTTCTGAGCAGAGGAGGTCTTTGGAGAACACTCTCCACCTAAACCATAACACACACTGTAGGAAAAGAGGTCCTCCCTTCTCCACAGGGGACACTTTCCAGGGCCCCTCTGGGACACTTGAAACTGGGTACTACTGAGCGTTCCAGATAACTGGTTTTCCCTGTGCCAACTTAAAGTTTAATTTATAATTTAGGAACAATAAGAGATTAGCAACAACATTAACAGAATGATTGTAACGATATACTGTAATAAAAACGACATGAGCCTGGTTACGTACTTTCTTTTTCTCTTCTTGTCCTTGAATGCAAGCCCTGAGATCCTGCATCAGTGAAACCTGAAATGGCTTGGAAGTGACTTCTGGAAGGGAGGCACAGATAGCATGGACCTGCTGCAGGAAGATGTGATTCACAGCCTTGGCAGGATAGCATAGGATTTCATGCACAAAATTTAAAAGTGATGCATTGGTTATTTCTAGAATTTTTGACTTAATGCTTCTGGATCAAGATTGACCACAGGTAAGAAAAACCACAGAAAGGGAATCCCTTGGTAAGGGGGACTGCTGTAATCCACCCAGACTTCCTCATGGGGAAAACTACAGCAGCTCTGACCCCTTTAATGGCCCTGCCATCCTCAGAGCAGGGTCCCAGAGTCCTGACCTGGTGCTTGCTATCAGCCCACACGCACCCCTGACCTGGGGCAGGAAGCCTCAGGGTCTTCATACCAGCCTTCCCTCCTCAGGTGCACCGCTCGATATTCTAGGCTTAGCATAAAAGTCGTGTCCCAAAGCCCTATCTGTCCTCGCTCCTCGCTCCCATTCTTGCTCCCAGAGCTGGCTGTTGTGCCCAGCTTGCTTTCTGGTCCAGCGCTCCTCTCAGGCTACACCAGGGGACTGCGGACCCCACCTCAGCTCTGCTGTGGCATCCCAGGGTAGCCAGCGTTCAACAGGTGCTTGGAGGATATGGGAAGGCTGTGTGCTCTAGATTGGCATCTCCTCTCACAGGAAAACGAAGGCCCACAGACCTGGAAGAGCCGACGCCAAGATTCAGCACACAGGGGACACCAGACAACACCTTCTCACACTAATGACACCTTAGGGGGAGGCTGCTAGGCATCTGCCATGCAGGGGTTGGCCCCACCACAGAGAAGTATGCAGCCTGAAGGGTTCACCCTGGACCTTCTCACCTCACCACTCAGCTCACTGTCCTTCCTGTGGCCTCCTTCTGGGGACAAAGATCAGAGGAATCTGCCCTGGTTGCTGCACCCCTCTCAGCCTCTGTGGGTCGTACTCACCTGGGCCTGTCATCGGGCCTCCTGGGATTCTGCCAGGCCTGGCATCCTTTCTTACCCCAGCTCCCCACACAGATGTCCCTGACTCTCTGGGGATCTAAGGTCACACTCCCCAGCCCCACTTCCCTGCATCCGCCTAGCCTAGTCCCTCTTGGCAACCGTTGTGAGCAGAACAATGGCCCCAGAGACACTCCTGTCCTAGGCTCATGTGGACGCCCTACTTCTATGGGAAGATGGACTCTGCAGATGCAATTCACATGGAGCCATCAACCAGAACAACCAGAGCACATGTGTGACTGTCCCACTCGAGAGGACTGTCCCATGCCATCATGCATGTACCATCCATGATTCAGGCTGCCCGGCAGCAAGCCATGAATCATGGCCCTGCAGTGACTATGTCAAGCTGAGGGCTTTGCCCGGAAGAGCACCCTGCACTGTCTAGCTGGGCCCAGTGCCCTGATCACACGCATCCTCACAAGAGGGAGGCAGGCAGGGGCTCAGAGGAGGAGAAGCCATGGCAGAGACACTGTGGGCCCTAAAGACAGAAGCTGTAGGGTAATAACTGCAGGCTCTGTGAAGCCATGACATTTTTGGTCATTTGTTTCAGCACCAACAGGAAACCGACACAGTCATACTGGCTGAGGGTCCCTTTTGGAGGGACCCCAGACTGTCTCTCTCACTGGACAGCCCTGCAGTGGTGCACAGCAGGCCCTGGAGAGACGGCAGTAGACGGGAGGCTAAGAAAGAATTGGACTTGACAGCTGGCCCAACCCAGGAAGGCAAGAGCCTGCGCTGCAGATTCTTACATTTTCTTTCCCCTCTCATACGTGTGGAATGAAATTCAAATGAATCAGCTATTTCAAGGGCAAAGTTTTAATTATATTCCTGCTCCATTCTCTGCTGACAAGAATGTTAATTCTCTGCTAAGTCAGTACTGACTGCCACGTTCCCCCCCCTCTCAGCTTGGAGCAGGCTACGTCCTCTCTGGCCAGGGTTCCCTACCAACTGCAGTCATCCCTGGCCTCCTGGTCCTTCCCTGTGCGTGGCGCTGGATCCCAGGCTACAGTCCCAGGTCCCCAAAGACGTTCCACTCTGCAGGATGCAGGCCAGAGCTCCAATGTCACAGGGCTGGTGGTATGACCCCGGGGAGGGGCCTACCACTCAGAGAGGATGCTCCTGCTCTGAGCGATGGAGACATGAGGGGGACCAGCTCTAGGTGAGCAAAGAACAAGTGAGATTCTTTGCCCGGAGCCTAGGGTTCAGGCAAAGGGAAGATGAGGAAGTCGCTGGAGGGGCGGCAGGGCCTGGCGGGGCTGTGGTAAGTGAAATGGCCCTGTGTCTTCCAAGGAGGAGCTGCTCCTGGCTCTGACTGCTCTCATGCACACTGCAAGGACACAGCCTAGAGCCTGGAGATGTTCCTTCCTCACTGGGGTCGTGTTCTGGTTTAAAGAGGGAGTATTCCCCGAAGAGCCATGCGTTTCTGACCATCACTGCCGCAATGCGTGCAGGTGTGGCCTACAGCGGTGACCGGGCTGTCGATGGCTTACCCCACTGGCACACTCAGGGCCGACTGTGCGGTTAGGAGGTGGGGGTGCTCCTCTGAAGGGCAGAGGATGGCCCCAGGCCCCTCCTGTCTGGTCCTCTTCCTGCCAGCTCTGTGTCTCACCTGCCACGTAGTGAGCTCTCCTCTGCCACACCCTTCTCCCTCCTTGACATTCCTGCCTTAGCCTCAGCTGACCATGGACTGAAACCTCTAAAACCAGAAACCGAAGCAAACCTTTTCTCCTTTACGCTGTGTCCACTGGGTATCCTGTCCCAGTGAGAGGAAGCTAACCAACACAGGTCATCTTTAAGTGGGTGCAGATAAATGTGAAAATCCACTGCACTGTGCACTTCTGACGTGCGCCCTTGATCCCCGTATGCTTTGAAAAATGGCCGGATTAAAGTTTTTAGTTGTCTTGTTTTGGGTCTTTATTTCACTGTATTTTTTTGGTTGAATTTTTTAGGGGAGGTTTTTGTTATTTTGTGTTTTTGGTGCCGAGGACCGAACCCAGGGCTTCTAGCTTGCTAGGCAAGCATTCTTCCGCTAAGCCAAATCCCTAGCCCCAAGATTAAAATATTTATTTTAATTTTGTGTGTGTGTGTGTGTGTGTGTGTGTGTGTGTGTGGCCAGCTCAGCCCACCAGGGGGCGGGGCTGGCTGGCATGTGGTGCTGGGGGATTGAACCGCGGTCCCTGTGTTTTGCTTGGCTTAGCTTGTTCTAAGTAGGTGCTTTAGACCACTGAGCCATCTCACCAACCCCAAGATTAAAATATTTAAAGAAATGTGGACGCAGGATTATCAATCTTCCTGAATTTTCAAAAGAAGCTTCAAATTCAGATTTTTTAGATAAAGTTGTTTGATTTTTTTTTTTTTTTTTTTTAAGAACGCGTTTGAACTCAGGCCCTTGCACTTGCCAGGCAAGCGCTTATACTACTGAACCATCTTCCCGGCCCCAGTAGTTTGATTTTTGAAACGTTGGAGACACATTATTTGTCCTTTATAGAAAAGACCAGCGAGTGTAGCCCTTCATTCACCTGGACCCCTCCACTGGGCCCAGTGCCAACCCCCAAGGCCACATCAGCAACCCCGACAAGAGGGCAAGGGGCGGCCTTCCTTCCGAGCCGCTGTCTCCTGGGGAAGCTGCTTTCCCGCACGCACGTACCTCCAGCGGGTCCACTTTGGCGCAGATGCCTCGCACTTCCATCACTTTGACTTTCAGGAGCAGAACATTCTCCTCCAAGAGCTGTCGCTCTGGATCTGGAAGGCAAGGCGCTCCTTGTGAAGCTCTGCGAACTGCCCCTGCGTCCCCGCCGTGGAGGTGGCTGGAGTCTGCGTAGATCCCGCCGGCAACCAGAGGTCACACATCCTGCCCAGGGTCAGGCGCAGGAACAGCCAGAGCCCAGGTGGGGACCGACCTCATCACCTCCTGGGACCCAGATCCACCCCGTTAGTATTTACTGAAGGGCATGATAATCTTTTCCGCCCAAACACTCAGCAACACGAAGTCCCAAACTAAGCATCCTCATTTCTCCAAGCACTGATCTGGAACAAGTGGAAAGAATCAAAATCTCTTCTCTAAACCAAAGTCAGGATGTGAGTCCAGTTTTCACTGCACTGGATTTAACGCTAACAAGGGGATAATTTTCACTGATATTCACGGCAACCACGTGTGCCGGAGTGCCCCCATGCGCAGGCGCTATAAGCACTTCCTGGTACCATCTCATTTAATTTTCAATTTCTCCTGCCCATAAGTACTTGAACAGGGATGGTGAGCTCCAAAGAAGCTGAATCTGTCCCTTCATCACTGAAGCCAGACACTGACAGATGTCAAACATTTTCCTTCAGAGCCTCAGGACCAACCAAGCCTTCTTCGTGGTGAGAGGGACTGAGAAGAGAGGGGGCGATTCCACAGCACTCTCAAATCCGAGGCAGCACCCAAATCCCTAGGGCTATGGTGGCAACCCTATGGCCACAGCAGGCTGTTTACAGCACTGAAAGTTTTAAGAGGCTCGCCATCAGCACCCTAGCGAAGCCTTGGAAAGCAGGCTCCCAGGCCTTGCTGAGTGGGTATGGCTTATCTGGGACTCTGCATTTGCAGCCCAGGCTCCCAGGCAGCCATGGAGTAGGGTCAAGAGGCAAGGAGACACCACAGGCGCATCTGGTGCGGGACCCTGGATTCGGGCTGAAGTTTGGATTTAGCTCTGCCCACTGTGCACGGTGGGAACAAGTCGCTGCATCACTCTGAGCCTTAGTCCTCATCTGGACAGTGACAGCATCATAACGGGGTGCAGGTTGGGGTGCACATGGCCAGACACCAAGGGAGCCTCTAGCCGACAGCATGGAAGGCACTGAGCCCTCAGCCCATGGCCCTTGAGGAGCTGGGCCTGGCTCACGCTGATTTGGCCTGGAAGTGGATCCTGCCCAGTCCCTATGTGAGGACAGAGCCCTGGCCAAAGTCCTGGACACAGTTCCTGACCCTGGACACTGTTGTATGAAGCTCTTTGGAGTAATGTGTTACACAGCGACAGGTAATTAACAGAGTGATGATGTAGTACAATTTTTTTTTTTTTTTTTTTTGGTGGAACCAGGGATTGAACATAGACCCTTGCACTTGCGAGGGAAGCACTTATTCCACTGAGCCATCTCCCTGGCCCCTCACAAAATCGTAATTTAAAAAAATGTTTTGGAAACAGTAGCTGTTTCTCCTCCTCTTTCTGCCTAAGCATGCGAGCCATCATATACAAATCTGCTCCTGCCGCTGCTCAGAATGGCATCCCCTTGCCCTTGTCACTGGGTCTCTAGAGTGACCCCACTGACCTGCTTGTCTCCACTCTCCTCCTTTCCTGGTCATGAGGCCTCCATCTCCGTGGGCACCTGATTTCAGCCCAGCTTCCCCAGAGACGTTCTTCTGTCAGGCCCCAACTGTCACCCTGATGATAGGGTGGCATCTGCCATCAGGCTGCCTGGCGTTGATCTCCAGCCCACGCCTTCTCCACCAGGAGCCCAGGCCACACTCAGCCTCTCTGTGCTGCAGTCTCCTCGTCTGTAACAAGGTCATGCATGGTAGCACTAGAAGGCTGTTAAGGGTGCACAAGGTCATCAGTGCCTGAGAGTAGCCCACACATGCACCTAACTGGCTCATAAAGGTGTGGATTTTTTTTTTTTTTTTTTTTTTTTGATATAGGGTCTTGCTATGTAGTTCAGACCTATAGTGATCCTCCTGTCTCAGCTTCCCCATCGCTGGGAATACAGGGATGCCCCACCATGCCCAGGTGCATTCAATACCAGGAATCAAACTTGGGTCCTTGTGCTTGCCAGGTAGGTGCTTAGACTGCCAAGCCATCTCTCCAGCCAGGTATGATATTTTAATTTCATTTCCAACTCTAAAATTCCAGGGGGCTCCTAGGAGAAATGGCCGCTACTGGGCCTGGGCCAGGGGATTATGAGGCATCCAAAGCATCTCACAGCATCAATAAGGAAGGAAGGGCTAGAAAGAGAAATAAAGGCAGGGAGTATCAGAGGGACCCAGAGGCCAACCGGAAAGAGCAAAGTGGCCAGAGCCAGACCCATCCGAGCAACATCAATGGCGAAGGCTGGATTCCAACTGGACGCGTAAGGTGAACATGGCTGCTCCCCCTTCAACATCTGCAGCCAACCAGCTATGAATGCTGCTGGTCCCTGGGTCTTCCCAAATATAGCCCAGTGGGGAAGAGATGGAAACCAAGAGGTTACCTAGACATGCCGGGAAATCTTTGCAATTTTTCAGTAAATCTGAAGTATTCCAGGGGCCAGGGAGATGGCTCAGTGGAATAAGAGCTTCCCTGGCAAGCTCAAAGGCCTGAGTTCAATCCCTGGTTCCACAAAAAAAAAAAAAAGTAAAATACATCCAGGTATGGTAGGACCTATAATCCCAGCACTCAGGAGGCTGAGGTAGAAGGATCACTGCAAGTTCAAGACCAGCCTGGGCTACAAAGTGAGCTCAAGGCCAGCCTGAAATGCACTGAGAGACTCTGTCTCAAAAAAGACCAAAAGGAAAAAAAAAAAAAAAAAAAAGCCTAGGAGACAGCTCAGCGGCATAAGCGCCTGCCTGGTGAGTGCAAGATCTTGAGTTCGATCCCCCGTAACAAAAAACTAAACTAAAATACAGAAATAGTGTATTTAAAACTTTGCAGTGATCGAGCCTAGATGACAGCTTCCTAGCAGCGTTCACAGCACCAGGGCTGAGTTCCACAGCCACTGCCAGGGGGCAGCTCCCCAGGTAGGCCTGAGCTCAGTTCCATAGTTCCCATGCCCCCGTGTCCTGCCCCTCTATACCCCGACACCCTGCACTCATTACCAGGGACAAGGACAAGCCCTCAGGATGCCCCCATCTTGCCCAAGGCCAGCTTTCTGGAGAAGCCCGTCCACAAGGAGCCTGAACTCTGCAGACAACTGCCCGATGTGCCAGAGAATGGACAACTCTGAGGCAAGGTCAGACTGCAGCGAACATGTGCACGTGGGTTCTGTTAATTGTAAAGAAACAGATGGGGCAGGAAGGAGCCGGGAGGGCTGGGCTGAGCCAAGGGAAGGTGGCCAAGAGAGGGCAGGGGCCCCGGCAGGTGAGGAGGGGCGGGCCGAGCGGGCAGCTCCTTCCTGGAAGCAGCCTCTCTGTGCCTGCAGGTGCAGGCAGCTATGGTGTACACCTGGCTGAAGGCTCCTGCAGCTGCGCAGCATAAGGGGTGACAGTCCTAGAGGGCCCTCAAATCTTGCTTAGGGTTCCCCTGTGGGCTGGGAGCAGGGAAGCAACTTTAGGGTCCCTCAGTGCCAGCCTAGTCAAGAGAGGCATGAGGGGCCAAGGAGATGGCTCAGTAGAATAAGCGCTTCCCTGGCAAGTAAAAGGGCCTGAGTTCAATCCCCAGTTCCAGAAAAAAAAAAAACCCACAAGACAGGCATGAACCTAAGAGACTGCACGAAACTATGGGCGCAACTGGGGCCCGGAGCGTGAAACAGGAGCCAGTCCATCACCATGGGGGCTCAGAGAAACGAGCAAGCACGGAGCCAGGATGGGGGGATGAAGGACTTCAGCCCGGGGTGGGCTACGCACCCCTCCTTCCAGCACCAGCCATGTCACGGCCAGAACGATACCAAAAGCACAACCAGATGAGATACCAAGATCTCAAATCCAGGACATTCGCCTAAAAAGCCAACATCTGTGGCATTTTATGAGAAGTCCCCAGAGCGGCCACACAGAACCAGCTGCAGCCTTGGGGAACAGCTGCCCCTTGGTTAACCACAGTCCCTACCCATGGCCAGAACCCCCTCCGTGGGTCCTGCAGTCACCCAGGGCACTTTTTTCTTAGAGGTGAATCAGAGGACAGTGACACATTTCTCTGCTTACACCCAGCCACCTCACAGCGCCATGTGACAGGCATCTGAGCATGCACTTAGCTGCACTCCAAGCACAGGGTCCTCTGCCAGGTCAGCGTCCAGCCAGGGTCCCCAGGCTAACCTCCCACCGCCCCGGGCCTGGAAGCCTGGGGGTGGGTGCTGGGGCCCGATGGAGTGAAGATGGCCGGCCAGGACAATGCGGGCCTGGGAAGGACAGCCAAGCGCACTCGGCCCTGAAGAACAAGCCCATGCCAAATGCAACTGCTGGGCCCGGGCCAGCAGGACACTGCGGCCACTTATGTGAGCAGAGAAAGAGCCTGCTCTACGGCAGGAGGAGGCTGGAGGGACTGGACACACGGCCCGGGCCATAGAGGGCACTGTGCCACGAGGCCTTGCCCCGGCAGCTACTGCAGATAACACTGGTGCCGCGGCCCTTCATGGGCCAGTACTGACAACAGTGACACTAACAGCTACCGCTTCGAGGTCACTGGATATATGGCAGGGTGCTGTGCTCAGCAAAGATTTTTAAATATTTTTAATTTTATTTATTTATATGTGTGTGTGTGTATGTGTGTGTGGCCAGCTCAGCCCACCAAGGGGCAGGCTGGCTGGCATGTGGTGCTGGGGATTGAACCGCGGTCCCTGTGCTTTGCTGAGCTTGTTCTAAGTAGGTGCTTTAGACCACTGAGCCATCTCACCAGCCCCTCAGCAAAGATTTTTAATCGAATACAGAGACATAAAGTGGCCAGGGCTGAAGTATGCATTTTGATGAGTGCCTGCACACGTCCCCCTCTGTGCCACCACAACCCAGAGGCTGGTGGGCAACATATTCCCTCACCTCTATTGCCTACTCCTTTCTACTTTGAGAATTCTAATTATATGAATATACATTTCTTGGTTTTGACACAGTGAACTATTATGACTGATCTGTAAATTCTTTCTTCATTTTTATTTTGGGCAATTTTTATTGTTATATTCATTTACGTTTGGAAATAATTTATTTTCAATTTGCAATCTATTTAAAAATTAAAGTAAAAATAAATAAAATTTTTTAAAAACCTCCAAACATTCCCTCACATTGGAGACCCCGCGTGCCTGCGCCTGCTCCACGACCTTCCTCTCTACCCCAGGCTCCACGGAACTTCAACCGCCAGAACTGGGCCCTGCCTTGCTGGAAGTCAGGGTAATGGAATCATGCAAGATAGAGGGGGAGGTTCTGGGATTGGACCCGGGGTCTGCACTGAGCTCTAGCCCAGCTTTTTTTTTTTTCTTTTTTTGAGACAGGATCCCATTAAACCACTAAGTGGCTCTCACTGGGTTTGAACTTACGCCCATCCAGCCTCAGCCTCCCAGGCCTGGCCTTTCAGGCACACACATGTCACTCTGCCCAGAGAAAGAATAAACTCTTTTTGTCTTCTTTTGCTCTGTGTCATGCTTGTGGGCAGGGGCCACATGGTGGCAGTCTTTTTCATGTCTGGGTAGTACTCCCGACTATGAATAAACGATACACTTAGCCATTCTGCTGCCGAGGGACATCTTAGCCATTCTGCTGCCGAGGGACATCTGCATGGCTCCAGGTTTGGGGTCTCAGGTTCAAGGCTGCCACCAAAGACTGTGTGTGTGTGTCTCTATGTGGATTTATTTTCACTTCTCTTCGGTAATGATCTAGGATTAAGACTGTGGGGATTTAGGTTAGCATTTGTTTAGCTTCATGCGCTCCTGCCAAGCTTTCTCAGAGTGGCTCTACCTTTTCACATCCCACGTGCAGAACGTGAGCATTTCAGTTGTTCATCTTGCCAAAACGCGTGTGTGCTCGCGGTATCCCAGTGTGGATGTGAAGCACATGCCCGCTCCATCCACCCTACAAGTACTCTCTGGGGATGGATTCTGGATTCCACAGATTCTTCACATTCCTCCCACCAAGAGGTAGGCTCCAGCATCCCCTCCCTCTTGATTCCGGTGGCTTAAGTGCTTGCTTCAGCCAATCACAGATGGCAGAGGGGACGCTGTTTCCATACCCATGCCTCCAGAGACAGAGCAGCTGCCACCATCTCCTGCCTGTGGAGGCCACACAGCCAAGTGTCTCACACCCAGGCCCCAGCCACACCAGCGGTGCATCCCAGCCAGGGCCCACACAAGCGAGCGAAGGAGCCATCCTGGTTACCCAACCCCAGCAAGTGCCACGGGGCTCAGACTAGCTGCGCCTGTGTGTCCTGCTGCAGCCCACAAAAGGAGCTGGGTGCTGTTGTACAACACGGAGCTTAAAGCCATTTATGATCAGTGGAATAATCATCTCCATTTTACAGAGAAAACCAAAAGTCAGAGAGGTGAGAAGCTGCGCCCAGGGCTCACAGCGCAGCAAGGGCGGGGTACACTTCGGCACATCTCAGCACAGGGAGTGAACTGCAGTCCCAGAGAGGGACCAAGGCAGGCTGGAAGAATCCATAGGGCAGACAGGAAGCTAGGGCTGATACCCAGACAGCTCCCCTCAGCCAAAAGCCTCCAACACCCAGGCCAGGCCTCGCTGTCAGGCCCGAGAAGATTTCGGCCACGTCCTCGGCAGGGGCCAGAACACTGGCACAGTGGCTGTGAATGAAGATGCCCCCAGGGGGCACGGAAACACTGCACATTCACCACCAAGGCTGGGAGTCGTCTCAACGCAGAGGCATAGAATCCTCTCGCTTCTTGCATTTCTTTTTTTCTGGTTTTTTTTTTTTTTTTTTTTTTTCTCTAATAGCTCATTTACAAAAAGCTTGTAATGTGCATACAACTGTACCTGAGACCAGGGATACATGGGCTGACTGTTTATTGAAATAGCTATAGATGTAATCATTTGCTTTTAGAATGTACTCAGATATCTAAAAGATTCCTACTTTTTTAATGTATTTAGCACGGGGTCTCATTTTGCAGCTCGGACTCCTAGTGATCTTCCTGTTTGCAGCCTCCCAGTGCTGGGACTATAGGCATGAGCCATCATTGCCAGTCTCGGTGGCTGGCTTAGCAGGCTCTAGAGTGGGGCCAGCACAGGATGTGGTGCCAGGGATCAAACCCTGGTGCCTGCACTTGCCTAAGCAGGTACTTAGTCCACCGAGCTATCTCAATGGCCCTAAAAGATTATTTTTATTTATTTTTTCCCCTAATTTTATCGAGAAACAAATAACAATGAGACAGTTTCAAAAGTATAAAAACTAAGTATAAGAAGTAAAGCCATAGTGTTGTGTTGAGCTGTAGGGGACTCAGGTCAACAATTTCTGACATTGCCAGTGAAGCGGAAGACCCAATACTATTATGGACTAATGGACTGTTTTAGAATATTTTGCTGAGTTTACACACCTATAATATTTAAATGATGGAACTTAACAAAAAAAAGGGGGATACAGATGAATGTCCATTTTGTATCTGTGTCTTCCATTTCTTAAAACATAGGGTGATTGTCCGGGGCCAGCTTTATCTTCCTGCTTCCCATAGGGCCTAAGGCCCAGAGAAAGATCATAAAACAAGCACATGGTGGCCACAGCATCAGGGTGGCTCCCTGTGGTACAGCGAGCATGGGACAAGCCAGAGATCACACTTGCCATCTGCAGAGGCGGAAGCTGCTGGGTGGGCACAAGCACCCAGGAGGCCAGATCTCTGCTTTTCCAAGAGCAGCCAGGAATCCGCATTTGGGGCACGAGATTCTAAAAATATCAACAGTTGGTTTCTACTTTTTCTGGAAACCTCAACATCTCGACAGGTGGTGCTGGGCCGGGGGCCTCTGTGGACGTGACTTCAGGAAGGAGTCTTGGCTTGGGGCTAGGAGAATCTCCGGGTGCTGCCTGAAATCTCAGGCCTCCCGGCCGAGCCCCTGAGTTCCCACTACAGGAAGTCTGGCCAGTTTTCTGGGCCAAGGCACGCTGCACCCTCCCCATCCCGCACACACGCTCCAACAAGATGAGGCACAGTGGACAGGATGGGGACACTGAGGGCAAGGGTACCGCTGGTCACCAGTCCATGCCATCTTCCAGACCGGCTTTCCTGCCTGGCGCTGGCCACGCCAGGCCCCGACGCCCTCTCTCCCATCCGCTGAATCCCACCTGCTGCTCCTAGCGCCCAGTGATCACCACTGGTTCTGCAGGCTCTACAAGTTCCCAGGCAGGAAAGACGCCCCTGCTATGTGACAGCCTTGCGCCCCGAGCCCATGTTCACCACAGTATTTTGGCCTTGGAAAAGACACCAGTATCTCCCGGGTCTCCCCCCGCCTGGCCTAGGAGACAGCCCTGACTCGCTGCACCCTCCAGCTCCTCGCAGGGTCAGGTCAGGACAAGGTAGCAGTGTTTGGTGATGAAGAAAGTCTGACCTAGGCTGACAAGAGCCTGTGTGGTCACCTTGGTCCCTCCTGCACTGACAACAGAACTAAAAAGTTGGCTCTAGGGAGTGAAAACTATAGATCCTCTCAGAAACACCCCCATCTTCTGCACTGTTACATCCCCACGCGGTGGCCCCAGGTGGGCGCTGAATGCTCTGCCCAATGCACGGGGATGCTAAGCAGCTTCGGTCCCAGCACCCAGTAAACATCTGAGCTATTATTACTGTTACTCCTTTTTTTCTTCATAATTTTATTGAGAAACAAATAGCAATGAGACAGTTTAAACTCAAATTGGTAGGACAGTTTCAATAATTAACACATTGCATACATTCTTCCTAGTGGTTATTTGCTGTACAAGATGCAGACATGGTATCCTATTTACAAACACCATTAGAACAAATCCCTCTATTCATTAAGAGAATGTATTGTTACTCCTGGAGGGCTCACAAATGCCTCTTGGCTCTGGACGCTACGCCTCACAGATGCCTAAATCTACACCCCTGGGCCCAGGCAGGTGGATAGTTTCAGCTCCAGGGACAGGCACAGCCTGGTCACAACATGAAGTCTGCCCTTGGGGCCTCCAGACAGAAGCCTCCAACCCGGGTTCTTGTGTGCCTTTAAGAAGCTTGGAATGTGGTAGAAAATTCTATAATTTCTCGGAGGGGGCCTGCCTCTGGCCAGCAGCGATCATGGGAACCCAAGGATCCAGAGATTTCTAGAGACCCTGGACCTTGTCTTCCAGCCTCAAAACACTGTCTTCCATTTTCCAGCCCACCAAACCTAAGGGACTTGATCCAACACACCAGAGGAGGAGGCATTAGATGAGAGGACAAAGGGACTCAGAAAGGAGCTCGATGCCCACCCCACCACCAGCTGTGGCCCAGGCAAGAGGTCCCTCCCAGGCCCCACAGGCCCGAAGCCATTTTCTGGCCGTCTCCATGTTTGCGAGGCTGACTCCAAAGAGCTGAGGAAAGTTAAATATAGTCCTAGCATCCCCGCTGATCGGCTCCCCGCATTGGTGCCCGAGAGTGCCACCTTGTGGCCCAGTTCCTGCTCCTCTGTGGAAGAGAAACCATCTCCGGGGAAGGAGGAGATCAAGATGGCCGCCTCAGGAAGCACTTGGGGTTGAGAGAGAGTGTGTGTGTGTGAGTGTGTGTGTGTGTGTGTGTGTGTGTGTGTGTGTGTGTGTGTGAAAGACAGACAGAAAGAGGCTGGGAGGGAGGGGAGAGGAGAGCGTGTGGCTTCCTTTCACTGCTGGCCACTGCCCCCTTTCTTCTGGTGGCTAAATCTCCACCAACATGGCTTCCCCATTAAGCTCCAGAAAAGGCCTGCAGCCTGGCTGGGGCCTAATCACAGGCTTCCCAGGAAGACACTCACCATGTCCGTCAGACTGCACAACTCTTCCAGCAGGAGGAGCATCCCCTCAATGGCTGCCTCCACCTCCCTTGCCTGCAAAAAGACAACGTCCTGCAGAGATTAGCAAGTGGTTTCCAGGGAGACAAACACCCTTTTTTTTTTTTTTTTTTTTCTTTTAAGCAAACTAAGTCTTAGGATTATGTGCCCAGTTCCTTCTAGACCCCTTGTCCTTTTCCAAAACCTCCATGGCCTCAGTTTCAAAACTGAGGGCAAATCAGGCAGCAGTCTTGACACCCACACCAGGACTAATTCACACCTCCTTGGTCATCCATTCTACATTCCTTTCGAAAGAGACAAATAAATAAACCCTAGCAATGAAATCACAAAGTTACCCATGTCCTTCCCATCATACAGAGGAGGAAAGTGAGGCTGAGAGGGGAGGTGACTCGCCCATGGTCACACAGCGAACGGCCAGGATTCTAAGGGAGGCTGGAGTCCACAGCCCCAAAGCTGCTCTTAGAAACCCTGCTGCTTCATGCCCTGGGCGGCCACAAAGAGGAAAAGCAAGCTGCAGGGTGGGCAGCGGATGAAGCTCTCTTTGGACCACGCATAGAAGTGACGACACGGTCTAATGGAGGAGCCCTGGCCTGCCATGTGCCGCGCTGGCACCATGAGGGGAGGTATTTATAGTAAAGAGGCGCTTGTTTGTTGGCAAATTCAAGCGTTACTGAGTAGCCTGGATCTTGTGCTTAACCCTGTGGTAGGGGACTGGCCTCTGGCAAGGGAGACCTGAGGGTCATAGGCTGTTGGAAGGGTTCAAAACTCTACACTTAGCAGATTCATGCATGCAGTAACTCAGATAAAGAATCCACTGTGGGGCTGGAGCGTAGCTCAGATTTAGCATGACTATGGCCCAGGACTCTCCTCAGTGCCATCAAAAAATTAATAGTACTAATAGAATAATAATGAAGCTATAAGTTTCTTAATGAGTTAGAGATACAGCTCAAAGGCAGAACACACACGAACGGCTCTGGGTTCCAATCCCAGAATCGCAAAACAAAACAAAATGAAAAAAAGAGGCCAGGGGCTGGGGAGATGGCTCAGTAGAATAAGCGCTTGCCTGGCAAGCACAAGGGCCAGAGTTCAATCGCTGGTTCCACAAAAAAGAAAAGAAAAAGAAAAAAAAAAAGAGGCCACTGGGCCTGTGGTTAGTGGAAAGGTGCCTGCCCAGGTCCTTAGCAGCTACCAGGAAACAGAGCCCTGGGCTTGTCAGAACTCTGCATTTGTCAGGAGCAGGCAAAAAGTCTAATTTTAAGGGCAAGGTCTTAAGTTTTAAATATTAGCATGCATTCTAACAAAAGTCTTTTGATGCTCCCAGGCCAAACACCATTGGTAAAGGCCCTGCCGGCCTTGGCCCTCCTGGCTCGCTTGGGCACGGGCAGCCTGGCTGGCTTCGGGAGCTACCCCACCTTCCATGCGGGTGCTGTTTATCACCAGGCACTGTGGATGCAGGCTCCCATCAGGAAGCCAGGCTGTGGCTGGCCACATGCCCTGGCTAAAGGTGTGACCAGAGGCTGCTGGGCAGAGCCTGCCTCACACCTGGGGCCTCCCAGCCACCCACCACCTGTCCGCACCACAGGTGTAGACAGTGCCAGGGCCGCAGCCTCCAGGGAGGGCTGTTTCCACCACCACAAAATAAACTACTGTGCAAAAAAACCTCTTTCCGGCTAGCATATAAATAGTACCAAGTTGCAATTTTAAACTCTGGAACCTGCATCTCACAGCTGGAACTATTTCTGGGCCTTCACAGGGAGCCCTGACAGGGGAAGAGGCCACAGGGAGGGCGGACCGGGAAGCAGGGGAGGGTCCCCTGGGCCCAAAGAGTGAATCATGGTAAAACTGACATGTCACCCTGGCGTTGGGAGCAGGAGGGAGCCCAGGGATCAATGAAGCAGGAGATGAGGAGTCTGGATGACACAAAGGGAAGCAGGACAGGTGGGCAGGGCAGGGTGGGTATGGCAGAATCCAGCGCGCAGACATGTAGGAAGCTGGACCCTACCCAGGGCCTCAAAGGCCCAGGTGAACGCAGTTTGTAGGTCTCCTTCCCAAGATACCCCCAGGCGCCTTGCCCGCAAGAAACTTATCCCAAGCATACCAGCAAGTTCAGCGAGGTCATGGCCTAGGGCCAGGGGGTGTGGGCTCAGGGCTACAGTGGTTGTTACCTGAGTGAGAGAGAGGAGAGGGGAGGGGAGGGGAGGAGGGGGAGGGGAAGGGAGGGGAAGTGAAGGGGGGGGGGAGGAGGGGAGGGGAAGTGAGGGGAGGGGAGAAGAGGGGAGGAAAAGAGAGGGGAGGGGAGGGGAAGAGAGTATGTTTAAGACCACCATCCTAGGTTCAAATCCCACCTTCTCTCCCACCTGTCACAGGTCCGTAACCCACTGGCTTACCTTCTGCACTGGCCAGCTGTGTGACAGGAGCTGCCCATCTAGCACAGCCATTATGGCTACGTCACCACACAGAGGGGATGCACAAGACCACAGCAGAGCTGCTCTCCACGCCTCGCCCCAGACACTCAAAGCAATGGCTCATCCCTCGGTGTTAAGGATCGCATTTGAGTCTCACAAGGACCTTCTAGGTACGTGCTACTTATTCTGCTTTTTTAGGAATTGAGGATCAGAGAGGTTAAATCACTTCTCAAGAGGTCTCTCAGCAGAGAAACACGGAAAGCAGAATCGGAGCCTGAGTGCTCCAACCCCACAGCTGCAGCGTATAGCTACAGCCGCACCCAGGGAAAGGAAGAACCGCGGCCCCAGCGGGCCGCCTGTCACCCCCAACCTGGGTGCGCATGACCAGGAAGGAGCAAGGAAGGCACTTGCCAACTGTCTGCTAACAAGGCAGTGACAAGCCTGGGCTATTCCCAACTGACAGGATGGACCCGGGATTAGCCTCTCGGCGAGGCCCATGAACCATTCAAGGGGCCATTTTCTCCCAAGATAATCCCCTAAATGGCCTCAGAAAAGATCCCTGCGGGCTGCAGCCCACATGCCTTTGCAGCCAGCCCAGGAGCCAAATGAATGCCTCGCTGTTCTCCACAGCCCTGTTTGTCGGAGAGGAGACTCCACATCCAAGTGTCTCTGGGTTCCCCCACCTTCTTTCACTTCCCATCCAACCCAATCTGTCTGCAAACCCTCCTGGTTCTACTTTCTTCTCTCTATCATCCTGGCCATCACCCCACCACAGGCACTACAATTCCAGCCTACAGCCACCTGCTCACCATTCCCCCATCCTATTTTGCTCCCCTTCAGTCTACTGCTGGGACAGAGGTAGCTGGGGGATCCTGTTACATGGGCTTATTTTTGTTTTCTTTTGTGGTACCAAGGATTGAACTCAGAACCTTGTGCATGCGAGGCAAATGTTTATGCCACTGAGCTATATCCCCAGGCTCTGGGAGATCCTGTTAAAGCCAAGCCCTCACCAAAACACCTGCTTGGCAAGTATGAGGGGTCTTGAGTTCAATTCCTGATACCCACAAAAAAATAAAATAGGGCTGGCAAGATAGTTCAGTGGACTAAGCACCTGCTTAGGCAAGCACAGGGACAGGGGTTCGATCCCTGGCACCACACGCCACGCCAGCCCCATCCTCAGGCCTGCTGAGTTGGCCGAGACCAGTCATGGTGACACACACCTGTAATCCCAGCACTGGGGAGGCTGAAAACAGGAAGATCACTGAGTCCGAGCTGCATAGTAAGAGTCTGTACCAAATACATAAAAATTAAATTAAAAAAAAAAAAGCCCTCCTGTGCTAAGAAGTCTCCCTCAGTGCTTGCCACAGCCCCTGGGGTGACAAGTCATAAGAATGGAGAACAAGGGCTGGAGAGATGGCTGAGTGGTCTAAAGCACCTACTTGGAACAAGTTTGGCAGAACAGCGGGACCACGGTTCGATCCCCCAGCACCACATGCCAGCCAGCCCCGCCCCCTGGTGGGCTGAGCTGGCCACACACACACAAAATAAATAAATGAAAATAAATAAATAAATAAACAGTGGAATATTAAAAAAAAAAAAGGACCAAATGAAAGCATTTAATCTTTAAAAAAAAAAAAAAAAGAATGGAGAACAATGTGTTGGTGGGGACAGGGGGCAGCTGGAGCCCTCACCTGGCCCTGGTGGGAATGTAAAAGGGTGCAGGTGCTTCAGAAAGAGCCTGTAGGGCCAGGGAGATGGTTCAGTGGAATAAGCACTTCCCTGACAAGCACAAGGGCCTGAGTTCAATCCCCAGTTCCGCAAAAAAAAAAAAAAGAAAGAAAGAGCTAGCGAGCCTGCAGCTCCTCAGAAAGGAACAAGAGTTACTCTGCAGCCTAGCAACATACCCCAAGGCCCTGGAAACACACCCTCTAGCAAAAGCCCGCACACGTGATTTGTGCCCACGAGCTCATGAATGGCCAAAGTATGACAAACGTATACATTAGAGTAATATTTCATTAAATAAAAGGGAACGGAGTACAGACCTACGCCAGCTATGATGGTGGGGGAGGGGGGCTAGGAAATATTATGTGAAGTGAAAGAAGCCAGACACACAGGGATCCACATGACGCGGCTCCATTTATATGACATGTCCAGAAGAGCAGATGCAGAGACGGAGGTGATTAGTGATCGCCTGCCTTCGTGGACTTGGGGGAGGGGCATGGGGAGGGGGAATAATGGATAATGGCTGGGGGTTAGATGATGAAAATGCTCTGGAATTAGGTCATGATAACATTTATCCAACAATGTGAGTATATACAAAACCTCACCCAACTGCACACTTTAAAATGATGGATTTCACTTTGGAGAATTACATCTCAATTTGTAAAAACACCTGTCAAGCTCCACCTCACTCAGGAGCAGCTAAGGGCAGCTCTCTCAGCCCTGGAGCACCTAGACCTTCCAAGTCCTCCCCGGCCTCACCGCCTCTGCGCAGTCTCCACCAAGCCAGCAGCATGTCCTCACCTCAGGGCCTTGGCACCCGCTGTCCTTGACTGGTAAAACTTGTCCTATGCTTCCTGGCCACCTTTGCCCGACTCTTCTGTCTAGGGGAGGCCTCCTCTGAGCCTGGAG